CAAAGAAAATGAAGAAAGACTAGGTTTTATCTTCTGTCAAAGGTTGTTTTATAACTTATAAAATGTTCTTAAATCTCAATACATTTTTTGTTTGAAAAGTATTTAAATAAAAATACTTTAAATTATTGGATGTCCTTTTACTTCAAGTCAGCCAAATAAAAGTATATGATGTTATCCTAGCTACATCTGTAAAATATGTTAAAAATTTTCACCAGTGAGCTTGGTTGGCTATTTCATTTTATATCCTAGAGGTTTCACTTCAAAATTTATGTCTGACTTATCATCATTACTTAGTTCAGGATTAATTTTAAATTAGAACATATAATACTGCTCTTCACTAATGACAATCCATGCAGTGCATAGCCTGTTATATCACCTTTTTGCTCAGAATATTTCAGAATCAAAGGAAATTGGAAACTTTGAATAATCAGTGTTATTTAAACTGTTCTGTACGAACTACAAAGTATATTTCACAGCCAGCTCACATATTAATTCTGTAATATTCCTCCTATTCCAAACCTCTAAGTAAATGAATTACTGTCCTGGCTTTCATACTGCCTTTAGCTAGATGTGTCACACTTCCAAATGGCTAAATATACAGCTTCGGAAGTCACAATTTGTGTTCATTAGCTATCCACTGCCTACATTGTTTGTTATATTTAGAAGTAGCAACAACAACTTTCCACCTTCATTTTTAATTCTTAGTTTCTCACATTAGACTATTTTGCTAAGGGATGGAGCTGGGGGGTGGAAATAGGTAATCATCTTCTCCAAATTTCTAAAATTATTAGTAAAATAAACATGTTTGGAACAATTGGACAGTGTACCTTGGGATGAATAGATTAAAACAGAGCATTTTCATTATGTCTCTGGCAATCACCCTTTTATCTCATCTTGTGATGAACATCTGTATTTTTTGGCACATTGTTAGGATATAAATGTGGGGTGTATCTGAACAAACTCTCAATTATAGTTCTGCTCAGATGAGATTTCAAAATTATGTTTTCTACTTTGTGGACGATATTTACTGTTTTGGTAGCAACTATGTGAAAAAAAGAATCGAATGCATTTAATATTCAGTTCTGGATTCATGTATCAATTATTTAGCTAAACCTTCTGTTAGTAGGTTTTTTTGTAAAACGTACCAAATGCTTATAAAAAGGGAAAGAGATTCGTCAAGTTACAGTAGCTAAAGCTGCGCTAAAAAGAAAAATATGAACAAACATATGTTACCAGCAGTGTTTCTGATATTTGATGAGAAAAACCATATTCTATTTTGTTGCAATTGTCTTTCCTTGTACAAATAAAGGCGCTAATCCAATAAACATTTATAACTGTGATTTTGATCTACACTATTTAATCTGCTTCTGTCTGTAAGACACCTTTGCATTTATTTGAGGGGTTCTGGAGGAGGTGGGAGACTGGTCTTTAAGCATTTACTTAACTTTTGGCTCATCAGGAGTCCACAGAGTTCCCATGTCTGCAGTTCAGCACGTGCAGCAGCATTACAGAACAACAGCCAAAAGTAGGAAAAAAACCTGATTTTTTTTTTTTTAAGTTGATTTTTTTTTTCCCCTCTCAGTGAGTGAATCATTTAGTGTTGGTCTGTGGCTCTGACTGCAGCTCTGGCACCGTTCCCATGGCTGTTACAGCCCCTATTCCACTTGGGAGAATTTTCAGGAAATTGTGTTGTCATGGATCCTTCTGTTTAGCTCCAATCTGCTCTGTGCCCAAAATCCCCTGTGCAGCAGAGTAAGAAATCCCCTGCGGGCCCAAGCTGCATGAGGCACGAAAGGCTGTAACTTCTGTGCAACATCCCCCAGTGCTTCCCTAATTATTCCACTGGATCATCTTAAATAAGGTTTAAAAAAAGAGTGGAAGCAAGTCCAACAGTTGAGGCGTAAGAAGGTGGGGACTGTACTCCTCTAAACTGGTCTTTCTAAACGTCCCTAGTTCTTAGTCATAATCCAGACTGTCTAGACTTACTAAGTTAGAAACAGGCATGTTTTCCTTCAAGGCTGAGCAATTTAATTCAGCCAGGGTTGGGATTTTTTTCCCTGATTGTTTATTCTACTAAACTAGAGCTGTTTTGAGGATGGCAGGCACCCATCAGAAAGAAACAAGGCTAAAGTTAGCAACAAAGAGACATGCTGATTAGTCGTGCTGCGACTAGGATCACTGCTACAGCTGTTCCCTTCCTACATGCATTGGCCATCTTTGTGTGGTTCAGGTTCCACCTATGGAAAGGATAAGTGAACAGGCAGGAAAAGGGAATCAGCTCCTCATCTCCAAAGAGAGTTGTCAGTGTGCTGCTCCAGTCCGGAGGCAGTGTGAGTTGCCTTATTCTGCATGGAGAGTTGAAAAATCATCTTAGCCATAAGTAGGAAAACCCTGTTTCAGAGAGTTTCTGGCAGTGACTATAAAAGGGTCAGTTTGCTGGCCTAAGGGATTTGAATGATGTGAATTTTCTGGATTATTTTAACAACACAGACAAAACAATGAGCATTCACTGTTTTCCACTTAGCTTCTATCAGAGGATTTTTTTGAAATACATCCAAACAAGATAAGATCTGAATAAATATCAAGTAGATGCAACAATACATAGCAGCAGCAACTACTAAACCGCTTGCAGCAGCGTTTAATGCTTTTGAAATGGTTGTTCATTGCTTACAGCTGATAGATACGCTTCAGAGATGAATACACTTTTGTCAGAGATCCTGCCATTTAGGCATCTTGGGACTGGCCTTCAGTTTGGCCCTTGGCTGGTGAAAACCTCCTCATCCACACTGACACCCTGTCAGCTTGCTGGCTGGTGAGCAGGGCAGGGGGGAGCAGTCTTGCTACCCTTGCCCCTGGTACAGGAGGGCTGAGCACTGTGAGGACTGTTCAGTGTCCCAGCTCTAAGCCCCTCCCTATGGAAGAGAACTGTATATAACTGGTGTTTGCCAGTTATACTGAAACCATGCTTAATACCAGATTAAATGTGAAGAATGTAAAGAATTTTTCTTAGCCTATACTAATGCGGTTACTAGGTCTGAAGACAAGCATAGAGAAATAAATAAAAACCTGCTTATAGCTACCTGAACTTCAGCTCTGCTCTAGGAGCTTTCCATCAGCTGTGTAAGCAGAAATAAGCTGTTAGGATGCTTGTATAATTTTGTGGCTGGGAGCCAGGGCTTTCTACCAGGCTACTCTTTTTCTCTGAAGAGGATCCTGATGTGGGGCTGTGTTTTTCCAGCCCTTCAACTTAGTTCTATTCAGATTTATATTTCATCCTGCTGAAGAGTCAGGAAAAGGATCAGAACTACTGACCCTGCCCAGACAAACATTTTATCAGCTGATGTTACTACTTTGATGTGGCAAGACCTGTCTTCTGTCCAGACAGTAAAGAGGGGTTGTACGTGATGATCGGCTACATCACGTGAAACAAATTCTGAGAAAAGTATTTTCTTCTGCCTGACACGACAAGGTCTGACTCTCTGTGTAATCTTTTATAAACTGAACCTGGAGTTTGTATACATAAATCATTTGAATTATGCATTACAGTTTTCACTGTATGCTTACACACACATTCATCAGTTTTACCTTTTGCTCAAGACTAGACATAATAGTAATCCAAATATTTTGGCATAGAAATGGGTTTGAGAAATACTCTACCATTTAGTGAATTTTAATTTTTCTCAATTTTTCTATCAGTTTTCCATTGAATATTTGAAGTGCTTGGGTTTTTTACCCAACCCATTTAAGCGTATATTTAAGTAAACCAGTAGATTTACATGTATTAAAAGATCCGATTTAAATTTTCCCTGCAGTGAGAGAAAGATAGAAATGATTCCATGCAGCAGATGTATAACAGATGCTACTCCTAGCACGTACTGCACTACTGGACGATGGCCAGATGCAGTGGTGATAGCATAGCTATTACTGTGATAGAGCAGAATAAAAGAGAGATACGTAAGTAATGTGTTAGCTTCCCCACCCACCGCCTTGTCCACACAAATGAGAAGGAGGAGAAAATTCTTAAGTCTGTCAGCTATCTCCATCATCATACACAGTCCCCACAACCATCCATTTTAAAAAATAGCAGAATAGTAGTGCACGTTTCAGTACATTAAATACTGTGAAGTCTGTCCCATCTAAACCACACCAGGGCTCAGAAAATTTGAAATACAGTTCAAAAAACCCACATTATTTCCATCTCCATATCCCAGAATGAATTTGCCAAGAATGCAAAACTCCAGAACCCTCCTGAAATCAGTATGGGGGAAAGGGGAATTCATCTCACCTAACTTTAGCCATCAAGAAGCCAAACACCTAGGTGAAGGCAGTCATCTGCACTCTTTTCATAGTTAAAAATAAAGGTGCCTCTAGAAGACATTTGTTCTACTCATCTTAGTTTGAGCTAAGTGAGATGAAGCCCACCCGTAGTGTTTGGGGTCACCTGTGAATTGGTGTTAAAGCCCAGACATAAAACTCATCTCTTGACTTCAAGTGTTGAGTTTTGCCAGTTGATCTCATCAGTTCCTTTGGAAAGTTAATCTGAGAAAACAGATACTTCTCTAACAGGAGAGAAGATCCTTCCTGTCTGAAAAGCACATTTTCATTTTAGAAGGGAGGAAGATATTTTTGAGACAAATCACCAACTAGAGGTTGAATAAAAAAACCTGGTGGTAGTTGTCCCTCTGGGCACACCCTGCCTTGGAAAGCACAGGAAATGAACAGTTACGGTAACTGAGTTGTGCTGGGTATAAATATCCCATGTGCTCCATACAAATTTGCCTTACTTCACTAACCACAAATCTCACCTGCAAGTCTGAAAGCTGTCTGAAAAGAAGAAGAGGCAATATCCCTTAAACATTAATTGTTTCCACGAGCAGAAAATGTGACTGTTTTGTGCGTGATTGCATTTTAAAACAGAAATCTTGGCACAGAATACAGAATAGATTCATCATGAACCTTCTAAACTAAATGCATCTTAATTTCTTTTGTATCTTTTAAAGGTCAAATGCTGCAAATACTGGCCAGATGACACAGAGATATATAAAGACATTAAAGTTACTCTGATAGAAACAGAGCTCCTGGCTGAATATGTGATTCGAACATTTGCAGTTGAAAAGGTAAGTTTCCAAATTCAGTTTTCTTAAATACAATGATTTCTGCTAAGTAACTTAGACACAGATTGAGTATGGGAAAGTTAAATCTTTTGACTGACATCCTGGTTTTGTAGATATTTTTTGGGTAAACGACTACCGCCCTCTTATGGTAAACTGTGTTTTTCTTCAAATGCAGCAACTTTTCTGTGCTTTCCATCACTGTTGACCCCTGCCTCAGTTAGAAAAAGTGATGTTCCTTGCCGAGGAGAAATCGAAGCCTCCCTTCCAGCAATCAATTGAAAAACACATTTGTGCTGTTTTCCCATTTTATGTTCCCCACAATCATTTTCTGTCTGTACCAGAGGCTACATGCACCATTATTCAGAAGTCCGTGGTGGAGAATACTGTTATCTGTGGGCTGGTGTGTTCCTGGTCTCCAGAGACATAGTTGTAACAAATTTTCCTCTCAAGGCAACTTCACTTTTCATGTGGAATCCATCTTTATATGGAGAGTTCCAATCAGTGTGTTATATTACTGTTTATTAGAATAATGTCATTAATTTGTGTGATGATCATATAGCTCTCCCAGACACCTTATGGACAACATACAATTAACAAATAAGGTACTTACTGAAAGTGAGAACAAGCAGGGACTGTGTCATGCATTTTGTGTCAGTTCCGGGGTTTTATTCAGACTTCATTAAAGAGCAGAAGTGTTTTAATTGTATGTATCAACTCATTTGAGTTACAGGACAACAAAGAAAGGGCCTCTTTGGAAGACATGATATTCCTAATGGTGCACTGAAGTAATGCTCTCGCAGTATCACCATGAGTAGATTTTCAACTAATTAGCTTAGAGAACTCTTTTTGATTTAGTTGCAGTACCTGTCATATACTGAGTCTCTCTAATGATGAAATAGTATTCAATTATGGTTTTGAAGAACATAATCTTTAACGTCAAAGAATCCTGCACCCAGATAGATGAAACTGCCAAAAAGGCAACCCAACAGGGTCTTTGTACATACATCCACAGTAACAAAGGAATTAGGTTTTCTCCTGCTTCATTCTTCAATCTAATACTTAAATATGCATCAATACAGCAACCTAAGGGTAATGATAATAGAATTATGCGGTTTGAATGAACTGAAATATTGTATCATATTTACCATTATACATATTGAACATCGAATTCATTCAAGCCTGTTGTTTCCTTGCATTTAGATATTTTTAATAAACAGATGAGAAATGGTGGCTACACTTTGAAGTAGATGAAGCACTGGTTGATTTCTATTCTGCAAATTTAAGCCCAAGCTTTGATGTTAGCTTTTCACTTCTTAACGGGGACTGGAAAAAAAAGACCTAGAGGATTTTACAGTTGAACATATCCAAACTGTCTTGAATAAGTGCATTAGAACAGATAGAGATAAAAGGCACTAAACATTTTATTTCTTTAAAAAAATCTCCATCTGAAAAGATTTCATTTAGACACTGCTTTTTAATAGTTGGTAGTTTTTCAGTAAGCCTCTAAAAGCAGTGTCAGTGTAGCTTGAGTAAAGTACATTTGTTTTTACCCTATTTTCCATATTTTTTAACTCTTCCAATGGTACTGGAAGGTCAAGTTTGCACATGTCTTCCACCATAATTCTCTCAAGTTTATATTTCTGATCTACCCGATCTGATACTTTTCAGCCTCTCCAAAACAATCTGCATGATGAGACAGAGTGCACCCTAATCAAATCTGCAGATAATACTGAGTGAAAGATGGTGTTGAAACATTGAACATTGGAGCCTCAGTTCCAAAGGACTTGAAGATTTGACTGACAGAAACTTTAGTAATTCAACAAGCTAAAATGCAAAACTTCTGCACTTTAGGTGGACTAACCCCATGTGTTAGTAGTACAGACTGTGTCATCCTGGGACAAAATCTGACATTCAAAATGATTAAGGATGTGGGACATATGAGCTGCAAGGGAGCTTAAGAGAACTTGTTTGGTGTGGTAGAGATGAGGAAGAGTCATAAGGAAGATCTAATTGCAGCCTGCAGGTACTTCAAAGATGTTTAGAATATCAGGGGCACCAAATTCTTCTCATTCTTCTCAATGGTGGGAGATGGCAAGGGACAATGGTGAAGAAGTTTCAGCATGCAAGGCTTGCACTGGAAAAACTTCAGGAAGATGGTAGTGCAGTGCTGGAGCAGGTTATCCGGAAAAGTTGTGGAATCTCCATTCTTAGGAGGTCATCAGGGCTCAACTAGACAGATCTAGTCTTGGCAATAGACCTCTTTGAGTGGGAGGTTGGACTGGAGACCTCCAGAAGTCCCTTCTGACCATCTTTTCTATTTGTGGACTAACATCTCATACCTGCTCCTAAAATACAATTTAGAAGATTATTTGTTTGGAGATGATCACTTATTTTTATTTTTTAAATGCCTATTCAGTGATTTTGAGGAGTAGGGGGATAATGCTAAGAAAATTTAAACCCAAAATTGCACTCTGATTCTGAAGACCACTTCCTAGGTATGCTTTATGTTGTGTACATCTTTTGGAGCAGTTCCTTTACAGCCCAACGGTTAACTCAGATGAATTACTCAGATAGTAACATATAGCAACACCATAAGTATTTGTAGCATTTTTTAACATCGTAGGGTTTGTTAGCAAGGTACACCATTTTGTGTTTGTTTCAGCTGAAAGAAAAAATAAAAAATACAGTCTTTCCAAGCTGAGCATATGCTTTTATGATTCATGCAGTTGTGTTGCTATTTTGGGTTTAGAAACTAGCAGGGAAGCTGCAGACGTGAAAATCATTCTTTCATAGGTATAATAAGCAAACTCATTATAGAAGTACCCTATATGCAAAACCTTTTCTAAGTAGCTGAGTGTTATCGATAGACAAAAATGCAGTCAGCATGACAGACAGCATTTTCAAAACTAATGCCCAAGATACACGGGACATATCCTGGTCTGTGTAGCAGCTGGACACATTATTTTGGAGGGGCAGTTTACTTTTTATAAATTGCTTGAAAATCAAGGCTGCATACAGCATGAAGAATTTGTGTGGGGTACTCACTTCAGTCCTCAGTTTGTATAGTCATGGCATTGCTTTTTTGTATGGGCTCTTTGTTTCTTGGGGGATTGTGGGCAGTTGTTATGAGCAATATAAAAGTGTTCGGGACATGGATACCCCACCTACACACAACTATTTACGGAGTTGGAGGCCTTGCTTACAATAGCAAAAAATGTGTTAACTAACACACTCTAAAATCCCCAGGGTACAGAGACCAAATTATAGTTGAATGTGTTTGCTAGACTGTCTTAAAATGCAAATTACTTTGTCTATTCCTGGGTTTCAATATGTTTTAGTTATTTTTTAGGATATAAGGTCACTTCTGTTGCAGGGGTGTGATCTCCTCCGTCTACACCAGTGTTGCATATGCTCTTCATCTTCTCCCTTGCCTGCCTTTTTGTGTCGCAGTTTCTGAGGGAGATGAGTGTGAATATTCCTCTGAGCAGATGCCCATTTCTCCACAGATCCCCAGCCTGAGCTGTCAGAGCATCAGGACTCCATGATACACCAAGCCCACACCAGTCATGTAGCATTGGCACGGCCAAAATTTCTCAACCATTGAAAATCCCAGACTCCTTTAGCTTGCATACAGCAATAAATTAGGAAGTTTATATTACTTCATTATGCAGAAAGAATTAGACCTTTTGTATGCAAACCAGCTCAAGACAGGAAATACATCTTTAAGAAGAAAAACTGTAAACCACCAGTTATTAATATCACTGACATTTAGTCCAGCCTAGACATGATATGTCATAATTTTGCTGTTTGCTTATGAAATATGTATGATGGCCTCTGGACTGTGGATTTCTAATGAGAATAAAATACTGGCAGCTACATTTTTAGAGGGAGAAGAGGAAATACAAGCACTAAGAAAATCAAACTTAGCATACACACCTCTAATATGCAGACTGCTCCAGAAAGTCACATGGGAAATTACTTACACTATCGGCTTCTCATTCATACCTGTCTGACTATATCCATGTCCTTGTAGACTGTGGCAAATCACTTTAAGGGTGAGCATGTGGAGGGCTACAAACACAGCCCCTATGATTGGAGGTGCAAAAAGGTTTCTTACTATTCAGCTCTTTCTTTCAGACCAATGAAGGAGACAAATGATAAGGAAAATTATGCTGAAGCTGTAGTTCCCTGAAGTCAGCAACAAAACTCCTGTGGAGAGCAGTGGGGAAAAAAAATGTCATCTGTGCTCTACATTCATGGCCTTGCTGCTGACCTGTTCTGTGATCATGGCATGCATCTTAAGGCCACAGTTTTCAAAGCAACCTAGTGCTTAAATATAGAGATGAGTGTCTACCTTGTTGCTAAAAGTTTCTAACAGATCTAGCGCTAAATTACTCAATTTTGTTGTAAGGCTTTGAAAACAGTTGATATGTAACCTTTGACCTTTGTCTCCCGCTATGAGAAAGCTCTCCAACAGTCTGTACAGATTGTATTAGTAGGGGATGGATGCTTTTCAGCAAGGCTCAGGCTTTTGAAGTCATATACTTACGATGTCTCTCCTCCAATTTCTTTCACATTCCAGCTTTTATTTCTTTTTCAACCCTTGTCTTTTCAACAGAGAGGTGCTCATGAGATTCGAGAAATCCGGCAGTTCCACTTCACTGGCTGGCCAGACCACGGTGTACCATACCATGCGACAGGCCTGCTGGGATTTGTGCGGCAGGTCAAATCCAAGAGCCCGCCAAATGCTGGCCCTCTGGTTGTTCACTGCAGGTAAGTAGCACAGATATCCCTCCATTGTGTTGTCCATTAAACTCAGGACCTATTTTTTCTTCTCCTGTTTTGTGTAGTCCCCACATAGGTTGCTGAAGCCACTGGAACTCTACCTACAGTAACTTAATACCTAAAATGTAAACAGGAATGGAAAATGTGAGTCTGAAATCCTGCAAATGACTGAATGAAGGCTCAGTTCCAGTAATCATCCCACTGATCAAGTACATGCGAGATGAACCCTTGCGCTTTACATTTTCCAGTACGCTGCTGAACATTAACTGTGCTGCTCTTCTTTCACTTTAGTGCTGGTGCTGGCAGAACTGGATGCTTCATTGTTATTGACATCATGCTAGATATGGCAGAAAGGGAAGGTGTTGTAGACATATACAATTGCGTGAGAGAGCTTCGATCTCGGAGAGTTAACATGGTGCAGACTGAGGTATTGTTAATCTACTGGAATACTGCCTTATGCTTTGCAAGGAAAAATACTCTTCTAGCCTATAAAACTAGAGCCCCTTTGTGATTGGCAGCATCCAGAAGGTAGTTTATTCAATCATATATGCAGAAAGTAAGCGACACACAAACCTGAAGAACTGCTGCCCAAACAAGTGCACAGTTAATGCTGCACTTAAAGTTCACAATGGTTTTTAAAAAAAGGAAAATCATTAGTATTTCCTCTCAGATGAGGTTTCATTCTGGAGTACATCTTATTGAGGCTCTTTTATGTAATAGCACCTACAGAACTGTGCAGAAGAATGAGGAAACCAGAAACTTCTGAATTTTATTATGGAGTGTTACTGCACTTCTCTTTGTACCTGTAGCTAGTTTGAGTCAAACCTTTTATATTAATTTCTAAATGAGTGGGATAAAGTTTCATGAACTGCTGTTGTTCCTTCTGGTCTTGCTTCAGTGCTGGCAAAGTCAGAGAGAATTAATGGCAACCATTTACTTACCGAAATACTAATAGCGTATGCTTTCAATGTCAGTAATTATTTTAATTGCTCTACCAGGAACAGTATGTATTCATCCATGATGCTATCCTGGAAGCCTGTCTTTGTGGGGACACATCTATTCCAGCTTCTCAAGTTAGGTCTGTTTACTATGAAATGAATAAACTGGATCCTCAGACTAACTCCAGCCAGATCAAAGAAGAATTCAGGGTAAGTTGTGGCTAGCATTACCTAAAAGCTATACATTTCAGCTATACTAAAGACTTCTGCTTAATTGCCATGTGAATTTTAGACCAAACCTGGATGGAAAAGACTATAAAAAAGGGAAAATAACATGTCACTAATTGCTGTTGAATTATGCTACGTCATAAAAGAATGCAATATGGTAGTAGTAAAATCTTCTTTTTACTCAATTCCTTCCACTGTCTTTTATTCAGAAGGCAGGTTATTCTGCAGCTGTCTTTGAGGTTGTTTTTCAGATCTGTATGCTTTCAGGATTTTTTGGTTCCAAACCCTGATGACTGTGATGTGTTTTCATTTCTCTGCATATTGATTCCCACTGAAACTGAATGATGAGCTGATCTATTCTTAAGTATTTTGGGATGTTTTCACTGCTGTGTTAATTTTTCTGTTGTATTGTTTACTCTTTTTGAAAGACTTTAAATATGGTGACTCCAACACTGCGTGTAGAAGACTGCAGCATAGCACTTTTACCACGAAATCATGAAAAGAATCGCTGTATGGATGTTCTGCCTCCAGACAGATGCCTGCCTTTCCTCATAACAATAGATGGGGAGAGCAGTAACTACATTAATGCTGCACTGATGGATGTAAGTTTCCACTACATCATTAATAATAAAAAGGGAATAAGCAGCCCTCCAAACTGGGCAATGCCAGAAAGTGGAGTCAGCATAAGAAGACTGAAATCCTTCTAGGTTTTTTTCCAAAAATGTGGCACAAAATCTTTAAATTCCCAAGCACATTTAGGATCCCACATATGTTATGTCACAACCAAGGTTCCAAAGCCATGCTCAGAGAGCAAGTCAGGGAGTTTTGATAAATTAAATGTGTCTGGATATCTCCCTAGTGCTTGAATTTTTAACCATCTGGCCTAGGAAAAAAAGAATTACCTATTAAGACACTAAGGCAGTTAAATAGGATAATAACGTTTGCAGCAATATTTCAGTTCCCTTTGTTTCTAATTTAAACAGTAATTAAGAAAAAAAAATTGTCTGTCAGCACAAGATAGTACACAAACCATTACTTCGGTCTTTCTGGTTTTTTCTGTTTGAATGAATGGTTCCTCTTCATATGTGTATGTATTTTTTTTTCCTAATGCAACTATGGTAATTCTAATCCTGCTAATAGAATATCAGTAAAAAGACACTTAAACCGCCTTTACAGTCTATAGATATTTATAGCCTATCTTTGACAATTTCAAGCTATAGTAATTACGGTTGTCAAACACATAAACAGCAAGAAAACAGAGGTTAGCAAAGAATGAACGCATTGTAAATGGCCTTTTTGAAAAGTGAAGCTAGAGTAATAACAGTTCATAGCAGTTTTTGCACTTCTTTCCCTCCAAGTTCTCAAAGCATTTTCCTAAAATAAGCCTAAGTTCAAAACGCTCCTGTGAAAAAGTAGGTGTGCTATCTTTATGTTTATCTATGTAGAGAAACTGAGAACAAAAGTTTAACTGCCTTCTCTAGGTTCTCACAGTAGGTCAACGACATTCGTATTAGAACAGAGCTCCCTTGATCTGCAATTTACAACCTTGCCATTACATTGTCTCCTTTCCTGGAGAGTTCAGTACTGTTTTGTTCTGTAAATTAAGTACGGCTCAGAAAGAGCAGTACCTCAATATTTGCTTTGAAAATGCTTCCCTTCTTCACTGTTGAAACAATGTCCTGGATCTAAAAGTGTGTCTGGGCAAAAGGCTCTGAGGGAGGAGGTGGTCTAGATTACTTTCCACCTGAAGCGCCCTAGCCAGGCTCCTGCAATATCCCCACACTGACAGACAAGAGCAGACATTTGACCCTCTCTCTAAATTCTCAGTCTCCAGCAGGCAAGATGATGCATTTTGCCCTCTCCACTTGCATCAGTTGAGATGCAGTTGGATCACCTCGTGTAAGCCTTTAGAGCTCACTTCAAGCAAAAGGAATAGCAAGCATAATTTCCATTATTCAGTATGAGCATGAGTTGGAGAACGGGTTTTCCTAAAAAACTTCTGGGACTTCTAAGTGAGGGAGTAATGGAGACGCCTTCAAGCATCTCTCATCTGCATGCGGCTTCCAGCAAGACAGGACCAGTAGGTTAGAAGGCAGCTGACTGATGTACCTGCAGCATCAGTGCCCTCTGGTTGCAGTTTGCTAAAAAACAAACCAAAGAACTGAAATCTTGTCTGTCTTCATCTGTACCCCAAAACGCATTGTATTCATTTTCTGTGGTCTCTTCAGTGACTGTCTCTGACAGAAAGATGCAAACAGGTGATCAGATTGTATCTCTCTTGTGGTACAGATACTTCAGTTCAAGGCATGTAGAGGCTTCCTTGCAATGGCAACCCCTCCTAATAATTGCCCCAGTATGGCCACGCTGGCCTTGAACTCTCAAGAGGACATCAGTAAAGATTCTAGTATGAGATTCACAGTGGGACAGTTCCACCAAACAGCTCAGTCAATGACATACTCTGGTACTAAAACAACCCAAAGAGCACTGAAGTTTATCCCCTGGGTATCCTTGCTGCTGTCAGATAGACCAGAATTTCAACCATATTTCTGAAAAAATAACTAGATATTTCCTTTCACAGTCATCATTCAAATTAACAGCTAAGTGCAGACAGCCAAGATTAATCTGTCCATTAACAGCTCAAAGCAAAACTGTTGCTCAGAATTTTGTGGGAGTTGCATTGGAGGCAAAAACCTCTGATGATTTTACTCTGTGCCTGTGGCATAAAATACATTTCAGAAATATACCATCTGCAGAAGTTATTCTGCCCAAATACAGTTTATTAACTTTGAAGCATGTAAGATCTCAGGAAAGAGCTGAAAACAATGTATTAATTATATAGAAAATAGAAGTAACACTTTCAGTCCTGAAGTTTTGGGGCTATGACTGGCATTCTGCTAAATGGGTATTTATCTCTTACCATTCTTCTCACCATCTTGTTATTTCTTTGCAGAGCTACAAGCAACCATCAGCTTTTATAGTTACACAGCATCCCTTACCAAATACTGTCAAAGATTTCTGGAGACTGGTCCTAGATTATCACTGCACTTCAATAGTTATGCTGAACGATGTGGATCCTGCACAAGTAAGTCCAGAAGAATGCTCCATTCAAAAAGTGCCTCAGCATTTCAGAACAGCTTTAGGATGTAATTAGTTTATAAAACAACATTAAATAGTAACACACTGAAAAATTGATTTGTAGCTTGTAGATATACATAGGGAAAGAGGAATAAATAACACCATTGGCAGCTTCTCCCCCAAAATGTTAGTGCACACATAAGTGTGTGCATGTATCCATAACTTATTCTGATAAGAGAACATGCTTTGTGAAGAGCTGATAAAAACCAAAAACAATGATTGTAGAATTCTGACTCAAGTCTGAAACACACCAATAACCAAAAGTTATTCATTAGAAGCCAACAGCTATTCGTTAGCCTGCCTGAGACAGGTCAAGGACTTTGGTCTGCATATGAGGGGATGGGTGTTCTCAGTGTGAAAATCTGTGTTATGTTTGGCATAAAATGACATTATTAGGAAGGCGATAGGAACTAAACAAGATTGCATACTAAGCATCCTTCGGAAGAGAAAACAGGGCAATGAAATGTATGGAGGAATGTAATTGCCTTACAAAGGGGTTGTGCATGCCATTACATGTTCGTTAGAAAATTGGAAAACCGTATCTACTGTTTTGGCAATTTAATCACTAGAATGAATCCCTAAGCATCCTAGAGCCTGGCTCGCAACTGTGCAATTCCAAGTTCTTACACAAATATAATTTCCTTGGTTCCAACAACCTGCACCAGCCATCTGCTGGAAGAGCATGGTGGTAATCTGGATTCTTAATCTGCTGATTATTGGTTAAGAGCAATGGTTATTTTTTATAGCAGACCACATGTCAGTTTTATTCTTGATATGATCAAGAATCTTTTTAGCTTTCTTGAGTATTGCACATACTTAGAAAGTGTTACCTCTTATTTCTTTTTAACATGAGGAATTTGTTGTTAAAACATACTCATCTGCCGTTTTGTCTTTCAAAGGAATGTGTAGAAATTCCACACACTAGTTTAAAGACTGAATTTCTGATTCCAAGCCCTTAACTGTCTACAGGGAGAAAAATAGAAATGAAAGACAAAACTTTTATTCATGAGCCTTAAGATAATTTTCTGAGTGAATACGGAAAGACTCAAGGGAGTCAGACTGTTAGGGACTGCTGAACAGAATTTTTTTAATTTGTGGGCTGTGTTTTGAATTTACAATAATGCATGGCTATTTCAAGCTTTTATTAGCCTCACAGGCTTTTAAAAGCTATTGGGATATGCAGTTAATGCACCTGCCTCTGCAGTATGTTAAACATTTTCCCTCTAATGTGAGTAACAATCTTTTCATTAGGAATAAATCTCAAACCCCTTAGAGCAAACAGAAGTGGAGAGAGGGCAGAGCTTATTAAAAACATGCATTACATTCAGATTTATTAATAATTACTGTTATCATTATTATTTATGTATATATGGAGTGTTTAAAGTTCTGGTTAGATATTACAATGGATGTGGATTGTTATACTCTATTGGGAAATGAAGTTCAACCCTTCACAGTGACTCTAACTTAAAGAGAGTTGCTAGCATCCCATGCATGCAAAATGCAATCACCTAAATGCTTTTGTTTTCTTTAAAACTTGACAATCTCGGCTTCCTAAAACAGGTCCAGCAAACAGCTCTGCTTATTAGCATTTAAGCCATTTTTCAAAGATCTGTTAGAACAATATTCCTATAGATTTGAAAGACGTGGATTCAATTGTGCACATGTTAAATGATCTGAGCACTGGCGTTTGCATTACTTGTGTGGCTTGTATTTTGCCGGCCTGTACACGAGCATATTTCATAATAAAAATTTGTGTAAGATTTAGACAATATTTGGAAAGTAATTTGCTCAGCAGACCAAATCATGGGGGGGGTTTAAAATAAATGAAAATTTATTTTCCTACTTGAAATTTCTGGTTTTAACTTGTTAAAGTGAACTCCTGCAAATCAGACCCTGTTCTCTTTTTAATTGATGAAGTAAATTATTATGTTTTCCTAAAATGTAGTCATCTCTAAACAGCTTTGTTGAGGACTAAGTGTTGTAAGAAATGCAAAACAACATCTGGAGAAAATGTGATTTGTCAGCTCAGCTCTGGATCACCACCAGCAGTGCAGCAGAATGAAGACCACAGCTGTTTTACTGAATGAAATAAAGTTCCAAATATGACATCAATGCTTCTGCAAGCAAACAAAATTTCATGAGTTCATACTTAATTTTGGTGAATGCTTGCAAAAGCTACATGCTTGAACTGCTCTAAATATCCCTGGGGAAAAAATCGTTATGGTTTTTATAGAAAATAACGGACAAGCAGAGTCTAGCTTCAAAAACCTCCTTGCAAAGTGTTGATTTAATCTTTAAAGTATTAACACAGATGATAATTAGTTCCTGGATTAAGCCATTGTGATATTATTAGACACTAAAACTGCAAGATAATGGTAGTATTACTTTGTGATCTTTAGATACCTAGAAGTAATGTTTTCTGAGCACTAAAGAAAGCATAATTACTATTTTCAGGTGGCATTCATAAGATGAAATTGAGCAGTTGTTGAAAATCTAAAGCAATCCTGATATTAGCCAATATCATCAGTCACAAGTGAAACAGATGTGAAAGTGAAGTCCTGAGCTTTGAGAATTGATGCACCCTTCATAGTATAAAGCATGCATTCTGATGTAGATTGAATTATTACCAACTTTTCAGGACAGTTGGAGATACCACGATTTTTGTCTTTAGGCTCTACTCTGTCTCCAAGATATGGTCATATTTGACAGCATCCCACTGTCTTGTCATAACATATTTCAGAACTGATGTTGACTGTCAGAAATGTGTTACTCCAAATACCAGAGAATGGCGAGCATAGCAGCAAGCAATAGTATGTTCAATTAAGTGAAAAGGCATTTGTTTAAACTTGTAAAGTAAAAGTAGAGTGCTCGAAACTGGTGGAAGATGGTGCACTGTGTATTTTATAAAGAAATTGTGTGAGAATTTCAGTAATAAATGTAGCACAAAATAAAATCTAGAAAAGTATATTGAGACAGCATGAAATTCAGAGGGATTAACTGTGTTCTTTTGTGTTTGTGGTCTTCTATAGCTGTGCCCTCAGTACTGGCCAGAAAATGGAGTACACCGACACGGTCCTATTCAGGTGGAGTTTGTATCAGCTGATTTAGAAGAAGACATAATCAGCCGGATATTCCGAATTTATAATGCAGCCAGAGTAAGGACATTATTTGCAAAATTTCTGTCTCAGTAGATGAGTCGACTACTCAAATCACAAAAAATGAAAGTTAAACTCACATAAAACCATTCTCATTTTTCAGTTTATTTATTTGAAAGCAACGGTGCAATACTGAGTCACACCATAATCAACAAGAAAAAAAGCCGCCTATGTGTAAAGTAAAAAATATTTTAATGCATATCTCAAGTGTGCTAAATGCAAATGAAATAAATGCAGTATTCAGATGGTATGGTAGCCAAGAAATGCCGAAATCAGTGCTGTTTTCAACAGCCTGAAATTAGCCATCTTGCATATTTGTATTCTGTGTCATGCAAAGAAAGCTGTGCACCAGTAGTAGGCATGTTTTTCAATACCAGTCCCAGGCTTTTAGAGAAGATCCTGTCCCACTAATCACACTTCATAATATATGTAAGCACTTCAGAGGGACAAGTACGTTTTTGTATCCAGCCTTTATGCTTCCATAAAGTTGACAGAAGACCAAACAAGGCATGTCTTTCAAGCTGACTGGAAAAAAGACTCTACCACAGACCAGGCATCTCTACCCATCCAGATGGAGGGAGCCTTTGCAATGGACTGGTATCAGTCACCAAAGAGCCACAGCTAGGAATAAGCAGCACTCCCTGATGAAAAAAGTTGGGAACTGCCCTGAGATCCAGTAGCTATCAGGACAGGGAAACCACCCAAAACCACACCCAAAAACATGCTAACATCTGAACAGATTGTGAGCTTCAAGATACTTCTTTAATACTGTGAAGGCCTTACATTCACAGCAAATGTGGCAAGATAGAAACACAGTCTCCAGCAGTGTTAATGTGAGCTTTAGCAGGCGCTGGGTCTGGCTGATGTGCTTTGGGAAGAGGGGCTGTCAGCTGAAAGAAACCGGTCAGGAAATCAGTAGATTCCAAATTTTGACATAAAGCAGACAAAACGCATCGAAGAACATATCTAATACTGCATCCACTTTGGTTTATTCCCTTATCTCATTAATCTTACGTACTCTCTATTACCTCTTACTCTAGAGAAAAAATGGTAATGTCAACATTTCTGTGTGTTCCTCATTTTAAAAGTGGCACTAAAATGCCATCACTTTGCACAGAAGTGAAAGTGGCAAATCCTAGACTACAGAAACAGTTTTCATGTGTGTGTTTATTATGCCCTTTTCAAAAGACTAATTTTCTACCACTAACACTTGTTCTATGCTCCTTTTTTATTTTAAATCACCATAAAGCAACTGTTCGGTAACATTTCACCAGAGGGGTTCTGACTGCTGCAGTAGCACACAATAAAATAAAATGTAGTTAGGTTTTTTATAAGCCAGAAACATATGAGGGTTTTGTTTGTTTTTTTAAATGTTTCCTGCTTCAGAATATCTTGAAAGGTTGAAAGGTTTTGACCTTTCTTGTAAAAAAAAGACAGAAGCATGCAAATATTATTCAAAATGCTGAAACATATAAAAAAAAAAATGAAGTTGTGTTGCAGGTCTCTCTTTGCTACCAAATTCCTCCTATGATATTAATTAATTATTTGCTTGGTCCTGCAGCTGTACCATTGCTCTATTCTAAGTCTATTTGTACAGCACTCAGTTTAAAGCTTCTTGTTCTACTAACTCCATTGGAAATTAAAAGTTATAACTCCTCAAGGGCAGTTGAAATTGCATTAGTGTTTGTCAGTGGTGATCTGCTTGAACAACTTTCCTCACTGATACAAATATCTAAATTATATACCAAAAATAATCTGTTATTTTCCCTGTTTGTTGTCTGAATCTCTACAGCCCCAAGATGGCTATCGGATGGTGCAGCAGTTCCAGTTCCTGGGATGGCCCATGTACAGAGACACTCCAGTTTCTAAACGCTCCTTCTTGAAGCTTATCCGCCAGGTGGAGAAGTGGCAGGAAGAATACAATGGGGGAGAGGGACGCACAGTTGTACATTGCTTGTAAGTACTGGAAACAGAAAAGAGAAAATAAAGGAATACTCTTAACAGAATAGGTGCCAGGTTTTAAAATATTTGTGAAGAGGTATCTATCTAATCTGGAAGTGGATAAATAATACAACCGCTCATTTAAAAGCTCTGAATACAAGAAGAATTGTATAATTTTTATGTAGATTCATGAGTTTCCCTCTACCTTGGTAGACTCCTGTGAAAAGATGATGTTTAAGTCAACTTTATATAAAGATGTCCAGTGACTTTTGCAAATGGAAAAGGTGCATATTTATTCAGAGAAAAATCAAAATTGTACCTTCAGAACAACGTACCCTTTATTTCTACAGATAAGAACTGTAGAAATAAGTAGTATTGGAGGGGTGATTCCACTTCCACACATAAAGCATATAAGTAAAAGTGGTGTGATAGACCAGTTACAATGATCCTAATGATCCAAAAGCCTTACTTTTCTCTAATAAGAGTATATACTTTTGTACTTCTGTGGCCTTTGTGCTCCAGTGGTGCAGGCTCTCATCCAGTCTGCCACCATCCTTCCTTTTATATGGCTTAATACTTGTACACGCTGTTTGCTCTCAGCAGTAGCTGATTTTTGAGACTCAGTCTTGAGTGCTTAAAGTTTTATCCCTCTTCCTCTAAACATCTGTTTAAAGATGCTGCCATGATGGGGAAGGGACATGCTAATGGGAAAAGCACACACACACTTTCAGAAGCTGAGACCCAATGTTAGAACGATGGAGGAAAGTCTAAGAGTGTATTAATAATTCCCACTATCACTGACCTTGAACAAGTCATTGCTCTTCAGTTTCCCCATCTGTAGAATGGGGATAATAATACTTTCATCAAAGGAGCATTGTGCAGTGTGATTAATTAATGTTTTGAGATCTTTAGCTGAAAAGACCCTTTTGAAGTGCAAATTACTGTTATCTCTGAGGTGGCTGATGATATTAAATAGTTGTACAACATCACACATGCGTCACTTCCAGGCAGTACAGAAAGAAAAAACTCTAATATCATCCTTTTAAATGGCTTTATTTTAATTAAAATTCTCAAAGAGTCCACAATATCAGGCAATGTTTTGGCAGCAGAGAGCATTCTTTTCATACAGCCTGGATGTGACAGATGTGCGATGTTGTATCTTCCTTTGAAAATCAACCATTTGCAAATGTGGTTTGAAAGACCTGCTACCTAACTAGTCTGCACTCTGGTAATTATTAAGGTTTATTATTTTCAGTGAAGCACAGCCTAAAGATTCTGATTAGAATAGCTGTAGAAATAATAGGGTTTCCAGAAAGAAAAAGATTCTCAAAGATTAAAAATAACTGGGGATAAAGTATTATTAAATACTGTATTTGATCATGCATATGAACACTTGTGCCTGGCTTCTTTGTTAGCAAGTCACTTCGGGTTCTCATCCTCTGATACTGTGGGTGGAGGGGGAATACATACACTTTTAAAAGTAGTCATTGCCAGGCAGCCTGCCCCTCTGCCTGGTGCCAGGGAGTGAGCGCATCAGCCAAGGGAATATGGCAGCACCGCCTCTTGCCATGCTAAAGGTGGAGCCACTGGAAGGGCTCCTACAAATGAGACTTTGGGCACTTCTGCTGCTCCTCTGCAATGCCTTTTGAGTCCAGGAGGAGAGCACCAGGATTTGGAGTAAAAGAACTCAAAGATCCACTTTCTCTAGAACATTTCCAGGCCTGATGTTCGTTGCAACCTTGTGTGTTTACAGTGCAAAAGGCTGCTGAACTGAATCGAACAGTACCTTGTTATTATTTTAGCAGCCTCTTTGTGCTGTCTCAAGCGTTTGCTAAAGGGTGGTCCAAAACTCAGCCATTCGATTCCTCCCAGGCTTTCAGCCTGCTGGATTCTGAATCATAGCTTTGAGATCTTTCAGCCCATTAATTCAAATTAAAAATTGTGTTCTGCCTAGACTTCGGCAGCCTTTGGGGACAGGAATGTTTTGTGGTTTCTCCCCACTGGAACTCATGCCTTCTGTAGCCATCCCTGGTGCTGTACGAACTTGTAACACAGAGTCAATTTTAACTGAGCCATTTTATCACTTTTATTGTAGGAATGGAGGTGGCCGCAGTGGGACATTTTGTGCAATCAGTATTGTTTGTGAAATGCTTCGACATCAGAGGGCTGTTGACGTATTCCATGCTGTGAAGACGCTGAGGAATAATAAGCCTAACATGGTGGACCTTCTGGTATGAGCTATTTAACTGCACCACTAAATAGAAAATTTCCTTTTTCTCAGAAGACTCGGAAAGATTTCCAGGATTTGCAGTGGGAGTTGTTCACAAAGCAAGCAAGTAATTTTCAAAGGGGATAATGAAGTCACTTCACTTGTAAGAGTATTTTTACACTGCTCTCTTCCCAAGGAGACTTTGTCTCTGTTCATTTGAATTTTTTAAGAGTTTTAAACTTTCAGCCGAACATCCTTATTAATTTTCTTTTCTAGCAGGCTGAGCCAAGTGGAGAGCAGCCCTTGCATAGTAGAAATAATAGTTATGTAAAATGAAATGCCAGATTTTCAAATTATATATTTTATAAATAACTTAATCGCCTAATATTTATCAAAGCCATGAATTTCATTTTGACATCCAGAATATTGCATTTAATTGTGGTTGCTCTATCTCACAGAAAGATTAAAGAAGTTCAGAAACAAGGGGCCATGTGCAATTATTTTCCTAGAGAGTATTTTATGGGCTTTTTTTTTTTAAATGGAGAATTGCTGAAGTGCCAGCTGCTATGCCAGAAGAGCTTCAGAACAGCTTAAACTAGCAGGTTCTTACACTCCAGTGTGTAGTTCTGTACTTGGAGATGGGTATAGTGTGATACCCTATTCTGAAGCCTGGGCTATAAAAGACACTGTTTTACAACATCACACTGTAGAGGTGGCTGCTTAAGAGGCAGCTGTATTCGATTTAGCATCATAGGCAGGAGGAAGCAGCATCTGGGCAGCTTCAAGGTGCTAAAGCAACCTGAGCTAATTTTGCAGGCTCTGGTTAAACAAGTTTGGGTCATATTTCAACATCCTTTTTAGAGTGCCCACGGTAAGGCAGAAGGCATTTGGCAGAGCTGGTCCAACCTGTTGTACTTTTAGGAGAGATTCCCCCTCTCTCAGATGAGCTACTGAGATCTGGGTGTGAAACACACTGGAGAATAGGCAGAAAACAGGAATTTCTGTTGGGGAGAGTGAGGCTTTCAGCCTCATGTGTAGGTGAGTAGGGTTATCCACTTCACCACCACATGTATCACTGCCCTCATCTATCCCATAGAGAATGGCTCCCACCACATCCTCCATCACAGTGCTCTCACCTAGCCTGCCTGTGAAGTCCCAGACCCTCCCCTAGGCCCTGCGTTGGCCAAGATCATGGGAAAAAAGCCAGATGTTGCCAGCTGTGCAAAGCAAGGAGGGAATTTACAAGCAGTACCACAGGGCCATGAGCCAGCAATGTGGAACTGTGAATCTTGCGAGAAACTATCGAGCATTCACAGTGGTGGGAGGGAGAAGCTTAGTTGGCTCCTCTTCCTCTAGTTTATATTCTCAGGAGGAGAATCATCATGCTGAGAACCATACATTTTTATTTCCTAGATATTAAGAAAAGTGTCCTACTTCTTCATTCAGATGGTATAGTTTGGATAGAGACTTGGCAGGCCTGCTGTTCTCTGTTCTCCCAGAGCTTAAGTCCACAGAACTCACTGATCTCTTACTCATTTATTTTATAGAAATAAAAAGAAAATTACCAGTGTGAAGGTGTACAGTTGAAGGAAATTCTGTCTATAAATTACCGTTTGTGACAGTTCTCCAGGTGTAGATTTCTCAGGCAGCTGTCTCCATTTTTCTTTTAATCAAAAGCTAAATGTATTATTTTAGAGTGTAAAAATAGCTTTTAGTAAATTGAGGATGGTACTGAGAATGTCTGGACAGCATGGAGAGGCCCCATAAGGCCTTTTCATTAGGCGATTTCAAAGCACTCGTGAAGGAGACCCATATTGTTTTCCTTATTTTTACAGACAGAGGAACAAAGGCAGGGGACAATCAGGAATTTTCCCTTTATCACGTAATTCACTGACAAAGCAGAGTTAGAACCACATCTCTTCAATCTTGGTCTGCTACTTTGTAGGAACAAATGTTTGAATTAGCAAGATTTCAATTTCCATGTAGATTGTTTCATGGTAAAAGGGCATCGAGACAGACACTTGAGTTCTTTTCCTGATCCTGTTACTGACTTTACCCTTTATCACCTTTCTTATATTAAGGTCTTTGCCTCAGTTTCCATATCTGAAAAATTAGAACAGTAATATTCATCTACCTTTGTAAAATGTTGCGGTAAAAGATTAAATGCTCAGATTTATAAATATTTCAGAAAAATAGCTTCAAGATTGCTTTATCAATACATGTTATGCACTTTCCGACTAGATGAAGGACAGTCTTTACAGTCCATACTTAGAGATTCATCTCTTAATTTCATTGAAACCTTTGGTTTTCCTGCAAGTGTAAAAATCTGAATGCCACATCCATACAGTATAGAAATCTGTGAAATTCTTCAGCCATCATGCAAAGGTAATACATGGTATTACAAAACGTATATTACAGAATGCCCAAAGCATTTTCTGATAAAGGTTATTGGACCTACCAATAGGTGTCCTAGAAACAAAATTAAAATGTACATCTCTGAAGCTAGCTAATGTAAAGAGACTTTTAATATCCACCATCAAATGAAGAATAAAAATGCACAAAGGACACACATGAGTGAACACAGTGCAAAATAATATATGTCTGCTCTTTAAGACAGGTATTCAGTTTACTAAAAATGACAGTTACTCTGCTGGATCAGTAAATCAGCATAAAATGAGCATGGAAAAATGGAAATGGATGAGTGGCTGATCTCTTCTTTTGATCTGTTATGTGGTTATAGAATAATTTTCATTTATTTAGAAACATACATGAAATAATAGCAGAGAAGGAATAATTTACATAATATTCCTTTCTTTTCTTTCTTCTTTTTTATTCTTTTCTCATTCTGAAGAAGACACGGGCACCTCACATACAACTCATTCATAACTTAGATGATATGTGCACTTGTTTCCTTTTGACGTGACAGATCTCAACAAAAGAACTTCGAAATTGTCCATACTTGTTAATGGCTTTTTGATTGTTGTAATATTATTTGGTCTCTTACATGTTAAAGTGAACTCTCCTCTCAGCTAAAGCGTGACCCAAAATCACAAGTACAGGCCAGAAGAGTTAATCCATTAAAATGTTTGCTTCAATGAAACAGAGAATATATCTGAAGTGTAGTTGTAATCTTCCTACTTGTGATGTTGGGAAGGTGAAGGCTGAGTGCTGTCAGCTAGTTAAATCTGTTGTTGTTCCTGTATGATAGTACATACTTATATATCTTTTATTAATTGATTCAAGTGCATAAGAGAAAGACATTTCAGTGGCAGAAATAGTCATAAAACCGGCAGGTATTTCCAAACTGAATTTTTTAGAAGCCAGAGCCCTTGGATTCAGGGAACCCACACCTATTTCTTTCGGCTTTTTTGTTTCATTTAAATGTTTGTAGTATTGTTAAATATTGCGAGTAGCAAGAATGAAAACAGAAGAGGGATATGTGTGCACACACAAAGCTGTGAAGTCTTCAGTGACTTCATCTTTTAAAGTTGCAGAGGTGGGCAAGAGTCAGTCAAAACCGTTGGCCTCTCTTGCGCTGGGAGAGGACAGTATTTCAGCATGAGTTTGGGCCGCATGTGGAGGAGGAACAGTAAGCAGCTCTTGCCCTGAAATGTAGCAAGTGTATGAATGACATTAAAATAAAAGTTACAATCTGGGAAGTACTAGACATGGGGTCTATTTTAAGATAAACGTTTCCAGGGAGGAATTTCAGTAACTCCAATTCTGGTAAAGTGCTACACGAGCATTTTGGACAGATGACAGAAGGGTTGCAAGTCAATTTGCTTATGTGTATCAATTTTTCCTCATACAAGTGTATTAGAGCAGCTAAATACCCATCTAATAGAAGCTGTACCATAAGTTACTGTGTGTAGTGTCTGTTGTCTGGTTAATATAAAGATTTTCTTACCTGCATATAAATTGGATTTTCAAACTGGTTCCCATTGACAACAGCTGATAGTAAATAATTTTAACAGAAGAGAAATATTGATCCCCTTAATTAAGTTCCTTCAATAACTGACTTTATGGTTTTCTTTTGATTTTTCAGGATCAATACAAATTCTGCTATGAAGTGGCTTTGGAATACTTGAATTCTGGCTGATTGCATAAACAGCACAGACAAAGTTCCTTCTTTCACCACCACAAACAAAGCAAGTCGCTTCATAATATCTGTGTAAATGAGATGAAGACTTCTCAGTGTTGTGCTTATACTGCTTTGTATAATTGGCTCTTTTTAAGAGCCCAAAAAGATGTTTATAAACTGCTTGCACTGCCCGTTTTCCACTATAATGCCGCTGCTTGACACCCATGTGAACATTCACCAAACCACATGGCCGTTGTTGAACACTGTATTCATACATAGCCATTGATGTGGTGAAGCAGCATAGTCCTTTGGTAAATAAGAGAGCACAATTATATTCTTATGAAGGAATTTGTACTTTTCTGTTACATTTTGTTGCCTGTGATTCTCAGTTATTGTCACAGCCTAGTGTACATTTCTGTTCTGTGGAGAATGCTGTCTGGCATTTTAGTAATATATGATTTTAGTTGTATTTGTATTCTAACACATGCATAATAAATGAATCATATGTAGCTTATCTGAACTAATGAAAGGACATGTACTAAATCATGTTAACTTTGTTGAGTTGTAATTTCTATCCACTTTGTACCATTGCAGAGAGAGAATCTTGATAGAAGTACAGTTAGAAAATGCAAAATACAGGATGCTCAGATTAATATATCCAAAGCTTTTTCATTTGTTTATATTGTAAATATTTTTTGATTTCATCAAATTATTTATTCATTAAAATGAATTTTTTTGTGAAGCACAGTGAGTGACAATCATTTTTATTAAGCCCTGGAAATGCTTACTGTATGATAGTGTAAACATTTGTTTACCTTGTATGGATTCTCAGCTCAATAAATAATTACATACATGATAAAATCTCGTTTAATTTAATATCTCTTGGCACCTGAGTGCCTTCAACTAAGCCTCTTTTCGGATTAATTCTTGTAAATACTGAGCTACCTCCAGAGTGTGTTTGTTGTGTGATCCAATGTTGATCCAGCCAATAGCAAGATGTGCCGTGCCAAAATATAAAAAGAGGTGAATTGTATGTTTAAAAATGCACAAATGCAGAACCCAGAAATTGCCCTGCTGAGATGATGTTGGGCTTGCAGTACTTAGTCTTGTCACAGCATTCCTCTGCAGCCCTGAGCATTCCCTGCCACTCATGCTGCATCTGCTGCTGCAAAAGGGGTGATGGTGCATTTGTTCTTGGGAAGAATGACAGCTGTGAGGGGGAAGTAGTTCCTTGTATTAAAAATACCAATACTAGAATGACTGGGGGTTAAAAGTAAGTAAAACTGCTCTGTTACTAGAGCTGTTACCAGTGGAAAGGTTTAAATCATTAAAGTTCTTGCCTGTCCTGAGAATGGCTGTACTGCGCTTCCATGGTGTTTGAAAGGTTCCCCTTTCTCTCAAGCACTCATCAGTGTCTGAACAGGCTGGGACTTGCCTCATGTTCATGGATGCAGAAAGCACAGCAATGAAGCAGCAAGAAAGGGGAATGGGCCAGCAATGGCTTGCTGCACTGTCCGCTGGAACTGCAGATCTTTCACCCAGAAGTGTCTAGGAGACATTGCAGACAGAGAAATTGCTCAATACTGAAGCCTTCCAAAGCTATATGGAAGTATATTCCCAGTGCAAGGAAGCAGCAGACTGCACAGTATTTCATTTCTTAAAAAGTCCTCTTTTAATGTGCTAGCCATCTGCAATGGGGGCAGTATCTATATAAATGTATCAGTCAAAATGTTTTGAGAACTTCTAAATCAAAGAGATCCAGTTTGGACAGAATGACTCAGAGCTTGTCAACTGCCAGTTCAAAACCACTGCAAAATTCAGATCTGAAGACATGAGAATAGGTTTCCTCTGCAGCTGGAAAGCATCTCTTTTAAAATTGCTTTAAAATGTAGCTGGCAGGTACTGGCCATTGCTATAAATTGCACAGAGGTACTGGAGAACATAGGAAAAACAACCCCAGCCCTAAGAAGAATGATAGTCCTTGGATAAACCCTGTAGCAGAATATGCTGTCATTGGTTTGGAAACCCTAGTGTTCCGAAACAAAATCCAAGCCTCTAACATCATATCCCTCACAACAAGCTTGACAAACCAGGTATGCCATCCAGGCTTGCTTCTTTGTAATAAATGTGTGACACTAAAATGTTGGATTCCATGATCTATTTATTGAAATATGCATGCATGTGTCCAGTATTTCCTGATGCTTTAAAGAAGTGTAAGATGGTTAAGCGTGTTGAAGGAACCCTAGGATAGGTGACAGCAGCAATGCGATCCCAAATGTAAATGAGATTTATTGAAATGCAGCAAGAATCACAGCAATCTCTAACAAGGGCAGAGACTGCCAGTGTCTGCTGGACATTATTTCAGCTGCTGAACTCTTGCAGACATACTTTCCACAGGTAGGTCTTGGGGATGAGAGGGTGGGAAAGAGATGACGGGGAGAGAGTTCTTCAGTGTTTCTTATTGGTTTACTGCTAGTACTTTTTGTTGTTGTTCTTCTTCTGACATAGGCATAGTCAAACCTGTGTTACAGAGTCTGTGTGATGTTGTCCCAAAAGGCATTCTGTAAACTACATTGCCTTAAAACTGGAGCACAGCAAGCAGCTTCATGTCCTCACTCATACTGCAGCTACCAATCAATACAAATGATAGAGAATCCAGGTTTAGGTAAAACAATATTTTGGCAAGAAGAAAAAGCAGATGCGGTCTTCAGGATTTTGCAACAGGGAAAATGTAAGGAATCAGACAGGAGCTAAAAGAAGAGGTGAATGTGGGGGGCAGGTATTCAAGAAGCAGCATGGAGTTTACGAAAGTTACCTGGAGGGTGGCATTTTAGAAGAGGCAACAAAAAGAAAACAGTAGTGACAGCCATTTGAAGTGTTCATAAACCAACTTTCCTTTTCAGAAGTTATGCAATTACAAGCCTGGTACAACTGCAGAATTTATGGAGCATCTGGAGGGCACAGAGGAAGGAATGTTTTCTTCGATCACCAGTATATAAGAGGTGCATAAATGAATAAAAATATAACTTTAAATGGTTAAACCCTATGTATCACCCAACTCATCATCTCTCCAGGATTTAAGGTAGATCATTTTTGCTAAGCTATTTTGAAAGAGTGGCAATGGGGATGGTGAGAGGTGATCGCGTGTAGGTAATCCGTATCTTTTTAACAGCAATGCTCCTGACAGCTTCCTCGGCTTCTTTATCAGCAAAATGAGTCTGTCACTGACAGGGTAGCTTCACTGAGTACTAACCCAAAGCCTAAGGACTACACACAGTAAAATTAAAAAAAATAAAGCATAGAAAAATCTTCCCACCCAGCTGTACTCAGTGTGGCTCACCAGGGTCTCTGTGACACAAAGACCTGATCTGAAGGCACTGTGAAGCATCAAGACCACCTTCATTTTGGAGTTGTCCTTCAGCAGGGTAAGACTTACTTTTAATATCTCTGAAATGTTTGCTTCTCATTTCACTATATGAGGATGTTCCCCAGGTCTAACTGTTTACTGTATATGCCCCTTCTCAGTTAACACTGGCCCTTTAATAACATGTAGCAAAGACACAAAGAGATTTTTCATCTTTGAGGTGTGGCAATGAAGATAAATTGACATTTCCAGCACCAGCTACTCCAGGCAGCTTCCTTTGGGGACACCTCGAGAGGCTGTAATGGTAGTAGCAAACCTAAAGCCCCTTGGCATTACTCACTCCAAAAGACTCACAACATGATCAGCCACCAAGTCTTCTTTCCCTTGTGGTTGCTTTGTGTCTACCCCCTGCCAATCAAGGATGACTAAAGGAAAGCAGGTGATCTGAAAGTTTAGCTGAGGTTTTACAACCTCATTGGTTTTCTCATTCAAAGGTGATTTGGTTGCTCTGCCTCCCAGAGTAACTTCTCCAAGCAGTTGTGCATTTGCCTTTAGAAACAACAATGTAGACAGATCACTGTTACAGAATGATTTGTCATACCTTTTGCATTTATTGTTGGTTTTACACTTATTTTATCAACCTGGAGCCTTGGACTACAAAATCTCGTGCAGTCCATACCTGATGACAAACACTTGGATTTACTTAAAGAAAAAATAATTAGTAATAGAAGAAAAATGTACCACTTAACGTTCTGTTGTTTGATGCTTAAGGACACCAATGACTACTGTCATTTCTGGGGCAGAGTACCAGTAAATCTGAACAGACCATATGAAAAATAATGCTGTTTCTCTTGAAGCTCATTTGTTTTGTTCATTTTCATAGCCTAGGTGTTGCCTAGATGGTGAAATTATAAGCTGATGGGTGCATTTGCATTGCCTCAGCCATTCGCAGGCTCTGGCACTGGGAGGTTTCCTTATGTCTCTGGCACGAGGAGGCTTGTTCCACGCGCCCCGCTCAGCTGCTGACTCTCACCTCCAGCATCCTAGCCCACTTTAACCAAGGCACCTTACCAAAGACTTGTCAACCCTTCGCAAACTGCAATAAACAGCCACAGTAAAATGCCTTCCTCACCCCTGCTGGGTATTTCCAAGCAGGCTTTTCTGTGGAAAGCTGAAAAAGCAACTGTTGAGCTCATTATTTCTCCAACTTGCCTGATCTCCTGCTCTAAGCCTGAAAGCCAACTGCTGTGGCCCCCACCTCCTCCAGCCTGTCTCTTCAGCTCCTCATCTACTTTCAGGGCAAGGCTGCCGCATCTCCCTGGCCCAGCCTGGCCAGGCAGAGCAGGAGAGCTACAGTGCTACACTGCTTTCAGGTCTGTAACTTCCATGAGAGCCTCCAAGGACCCACCTGGTAGATGCATTGCCCTGTGATGCCACGGTCCTGCCTCTTCCCCCAGGATCACGTATAACCTCTCCCATGAGCCTCCGTCCCACTTCCCTTGCAGTCCTATCACCACAGCACTTGATGATCTTTCTGGGTGATATGACTTGAGACAGGTGGAAAGGAGATGTGAGGCTGGAAGAGGTTGGGGTCTATAAACACCCTGCCACGATTTTGTTTAATATTGTTGATAGTACTTGACACACAAAAACACAGAAAAAGTGGGTTTGACAATGAAGAGTGAGAGCAATTCTTGCTGTAGCTTGTCTAAGGGAATGTGTCAGAGAAGATTAATATCTTTTGTTCACTGACAGTCTTTCCAAGCAATAGTGGTTTTACTCCTGAAGCTCTTCTATTGATGTGTTTTCAGTAGCAGCTAGAAGACTTTTAATTGTATCTCTACAGTCATGATATTTCTAGTAATTGGGTTTTTTGTGAAGATGTGCTCAGGGGCCACAATTAAAGCATAAGTCTCATTGATGCTAGACATACATTAATACTGCTGCCAGGCCTGAGTAAATGCTATCAGAACTCCTAGTTCTACAAACATTAACATTAATATCCTCTTGTCTAGTCCCACTTGCACAAAAAAAAAAAAATCAATGTGATACACACATTTTGCATCTGAGCTCATCAGTCCTTGTACATGTCTTATCATGATGCTATATTGGGTCTGGCTGGGAATAAGTTCATTTTCTTCATAGCAGCCCATATGGTGCTGTGTTTTGAATTTGTGACTAAAACAGTGTTGAGAGCACACCAACATTTTAGCTATTGCTGATCAGTGTTTGCACAGCATCAAGGCCTTCTCTGTTTCTCACTCTGCCTCCACCCCAGCAAGTAGGCTGGGGGTGGTTAAGAAGTGGAACACAGCTGGGACAGCTCAACTGACCAAAGACAGGATATTCCATACCATACAGCATCATAGCCACAAAATGGGGGCAGAGGGGAAGGAAGCAATTTCTAGGAGACTGGCTGGGCATTGGCCTGCTTGTGGGAGGTGGTGGGTGAATGCCATTGCATCAATTGTTTGGGTTATTATTCACCTCCCTCTTT